TGTAAAATTACCCTCCAGCCTGAGAGATATGCTCAGTATTTAGTCTCGGCCAATCATAAACCTGCATTCTGTTTTAGGTGCCAAGTTCCCGATTAAATGGACAGCCCCCGAAGCCGCGCTCTACGGACGGTTCACCATTAAATCAGACGTGTGGTCATTTGGAATACTGCTGACAGAGCTGGTGACCAAAGGACGTGTGCCATATCCAGGTGAGATATAAAACATTTCGATTAGTATTTCCATGCAGAACTCTGGATATGGCATGTGTAGGGAAAAAAAAAGGTCTGAAGAGAACTGACTCTTGTACAGGACATGAGTAGGTAGATAAGCCTGGAAATGAAGGTAAAAAGCAAGAAACGTTTTTCTTCTGTGTATTTGAGTTATCTTCTGTTTTTAAATGTGCTTTATGAACATATGTTCTACTACTTCCCAGGTCATTACTGTTTTTTTTTTTTTTTTTTTTTAGGGATGAATAACCGGGAGGTTTTAGAGCAGGTGGAGCGTGGATACAGGATGCCATGCCCTCAGGACTGCCCGATCTCTCTGCACGAGCTCATGCTGCAGTGCTGGAAGCGAGATCCCGAGGAGAGACCCACGTTCGAGTACCTGCAGGCGTTTTTGGAGGACTACTTCACTGCCACGGAGCCCCAGTACCAACCAGGAGACAACCTCTAAGCCGTAAAAAAAACAAACAAGAGTTCGAGAGTTAAAGCGAGCGGATTTGTGCTTTAATCTCGCCGATTATAACACAAGTCCAGTCACTTTGACTTTGAAATGCTATTAGACATTTGAAAATCCACCTGGACGACTGAAAACCTCCGTAGAACTCGAGAGCCAGAGGAAAACGCATCGCTACGACACACACTGACCTGAACAACGATACGATGCACGTGTGATGATTAAAGCTTCCAGATTCGTTGCCATTTCAATCCAGTATTCGACTTGTTACTCATCTTCCATTAAAAGGACGTGCCACATTAAATGTGTTCACTAAAGCCAAAACCATATTTTTGGGGACATCATGCGAGTGTTTGAAAAAGAATTAAGGATAACGGATGGCCTGTTTGTATGTAGTGTAAATATGATTGTGTTTACTTACCCACGTTTTAGGCTTTATTACTTTTTATAATGCTTTTTATTTGAGTTTCGTTTATTTTTTGTTCGTATCCAGCCATTGCTCAGAGAAGAAGTAAGTATGAATATCGAGGCTGAAACAAGACGACTAATTCTGGAAACAGCCTCTTTTAAAAACGTCCGGGACTCTTTTAATTATTTATTCCAGTAAAGACATACCCTCTTTGTTTTAACTTTGAGGAATCCTGCAGCACATAGCTAGCTTTCCTGACACTAAACATTGTGACTTTTTCACCGAAGGAAAATTGTGTATGTGCACTGGTGACTCTGCTCAGCTTTTTTTTTTATTTGCTCCTGCTTTTAGCAAAAGCTCAGTGTCTCCATTTTTTTATTTTTTATTTTTGGTTTGTTTCTCTTGCTAGTGCATTTTCTATTTAGTCACTTTGGATTAACGATAGAAGAATTATGCATCGATATAGTAATCAGGCTGTGTGGGCATTATGCTTGACTATACCTGCATCTCTCTCTAGCGAAGATGATCAAATAAAATAAATGGCTAACATCATTATTGTTGTAAGAGGCGTACAAGCAAACCATTTAAATGCATTACAGTGTGCTATGATTTAACATAACATAACATCTAAGTAGAAAAAAAAAAAAAACAACTACATTAACTCCACTGAGCTTGTCTAGCTTCTCTCTGGCCCTGATTTCTGTCCCTGATCTAAAAACGATTTCGAAACGTCATGTCTGGACCGTATTTAACCTCAATCGATATGTTAAAATGTCACAGCCTGTGTCTATCAGGCAGAATTAGCAGGGCCACTTTCACCTCGTTTCCATTCCAGCTTTCACTTGAATATCTAGTGAAGGTTTTTCTATAGAATAGTGCGCGCTATAGTAAGCCGTATGGACACGGACTCCGACCTCATGATTTTCACTCGTTTCTCTCTTCTTCTTCTTTTTTTAAAATTTTTTTTTTTAAGTCATCCATTCGAATTAATTCATAGATATTGTGTTTTTATTTAATTGTTTTGTTTCAGTTATGCACAAACATTTGTAGAATAAAGACTCATACCCAAGCCCATTTCTTTCGATTTTATGTTTCTCTTCTGAAATTAAGTTGCCTTTGTAATTTACCTTTGTCTTTCTTATACCACAGTGCTTGGATTCTCAAATCTGATTGGCCAGAAGCTGTTGATTAAACAGCTGCAAGGCGAATGACACGTTTATGTTAATGCGCTTGTTCGAATACGTTATCATTTCAAAGTAACGGCTCATACACGGTGTCTTGTACGACGGACACTTAAGTGTGATATTAAAACGTGTCGCTATTTAACAAAGAAAAATATCGTTGATATAAAGTTTTCTGTAGGTTTTCTGTTGTTTATTTAACATTTACGGAAGGAGTCTCCACTGTCAGTGTAAGTTTTCCACACAGGAAAGTCTTCACGTCTTTGCCCTTTCTGGTTTGTATTAACATCAAGAGTGTGGAAAAGAGGTGAGGTGAGGAAACGACTGTTTTTAGCTGCTATAACATTACTGATAACGTGAACTAACTTGTTTAAAACGCATTAAACGTAACCGGAAAAGGCTAAAAAGTATATCGTGAAATTCTAACATTGATATGAGCAAATTACTGTGGTATAAGAGGAATAAAAGAGTTCGAGACATGCTGTTATTGGAAAATAATCAACTTCATGGCCACATCACACCATCCCTGTTGTTTATTTTCCTACAAAATGCCGTCCCAGAGTTTGTTTTTTTTTTTTTCCATTACATAAGTTAGTTTTGTTTAAAGCTTTATAATATTTGATTAAAATTTACTTTAGCACGAACAGAGGTGTAGCACTCTCACAATCACTAGTCTATTATAGTCAATGCAGCGATGATCATCGATCACAGATTGATATTTATGTCAATATTTATAATAATATAGTCAGTGGAGAAAACCTTCCTTGTTAAATTTGTTTAAAGCGTTCATATTTGACTTTATTTTACGAAGAAAAAAAAAAAGGGGGAGGCTGGTATAAATCTGTCGTTCAGAGAAAAAACAGACATGAACATACGTAAGGTATAATCCATTACTCAAACCTAATAGTTTCATTGTTGAGCTATTGCAAGATACTAGAAACTTCAACCATCCTATCTAAGATCACAACCTGGACAAAAGCAACAGCAAATCAGCATCAACAGGAACAGAATGTCTTTTAGTGTAAATCCATTATTTTGCAAGCTTCCATACGATATGCTCAAAAATGCTTCCCTAATAAATCCTAAAACTTGTTTAAATAAACCTGGTTGATATTGTATTGAATCAAGCATTCGATACAATCAGAATGGCCTTCTGGTGCAACATTATTTCATGTTTTTCTACTTCCTGTAACATGACGTTTTTACATTTTTTGCGCCAGATGAGGGCTATTACATGTTGCTCCATTCTCTGCTCCTAGTGTGCTGGTTATAAATAAGTGGATCCGTTCTATGAAATCCCAGATGAAAATATATCCTCTGAGATTTGATTCAAGCCTGCTTTTAAAAAGCATATGCGATCTAAGTGTTAAAGCAATGCATCCGAGTCAGTCTGAAAGGAAGTCAAAGCAAGGCGTGGGCATTTTTAATAAACATACGTATGACAGTGAATGGAGAATGGAAAACTAATGGTCCAGTTCATATCAACACATCATTATGGCTGACGAGGTCAGACCCCCCGTCCCCCCCTGCAGCCTAAAAAGGCAAGGCCGTGAACAGCTGGTGGAAGGAACACAGGCTAAGAATAACCAGTGGCTGTGGTGGATAAGGTTACCTTGAAACTCTTGTGCATGTTTTCTTGCCCCATGGCCATGTGAGGCACCAATTACGCGGCTGAAATTATTAGCAAGCGTGTTTGCTGCCTCCCCTGTTTATCCGTAGAGCCTCAGTGCCTCTTTGGAGTTCCCCCACCCCATCTTGCCACACTGCCCTTCACCATGCTCACTGAATATACTTTGGAAAATTAGATTTTTCTGGACTCAATTAACGAGGTTCCACCTGTGGATTGTATGGGGGGACTAACAAGCCGGGCAGCGTTAACATCAAGCAGGTGGAACCACTGCAACGGGACAGGACAAGATCGGCTGAAGCTTCCACAGCAAGTCACACTATGACTAATGAAACTGAAGGTACTGCATTATTTATTTATAGACTTCATACTTTAGTTGAAAGATTGCATATAATATATACGCTGTGTGTTTTTTTAATGATGTAATAAATAGATTTGATAGCGCACACATTAAATATCTACAGCTTTTTTTTTTTTGTTTAGTTGGATATAGCACATGGCAGCAGTAACAACACTGATTATCAGGAGTGTTTTAAAGGCAATCAATTCCTGTGATTATCCAATGAAATCAAAGGTTCAGCAAAATAAATAAATCAATAAAATAAATGAAGCATACACAATATCTAGTCGATCAGTCTTTGCATACAAGGCTTCTATCACTATCATGCCACAGCTCTATTGAATTCACAAAGCTTTCTTTAAGGGGAGGTAGATGTAACATTTTTGGAAGGAGTCTCCAGTATCAGAGCTTTGTAACAGAAAGAGGTAAAGCTATACCTTTAATTTTCCCACCACAAGAAAGTCTTCATGATGGAGGGCTTAACATGTAGTCACTTAACATGACAGGCTGCAAAACAAGTTATTTATAACAAAAGTGGTTTCACAACGAATGTACCTATAAATGGATAAAAAGTATCATGCTTACAATCGAATTAATTAAAAATGTGTAATTATTGGCAACTTGCTAAACACGCCAGGATGGGATGTGCTGTTAAAGTAAAGCAAATCCACAACATTTGTGTGTTTGGATGATGATTTTTATCCAAATTGAGATAAGATGCAGATGAGGGTTAAGGATCTTGGCCAAGGACTCACCCATGGCGGCTTGGCGGCGCTGGGATTTGAACTCACAACCTTCCAAGCAGTAGCCCAATGCTGTAACCACTAAGCCACCACTACACCCTGTTATGGTTTATTGCTGACTTATTACATTAAATACAATCAAACTGTATAAAATTATGAAACTATGACCGTTTTAGAGCCTATGTAATGACATTAAGCACTAAATGATGTGTTTATCACTGAAGACTGTGCCATATCCACTGTCCAATGACAGTAGAGTAATAGAACACCCATGCAATTCATATAGCCTTGCTGTATCATGTTACTGTTTTGACCCAAGGAGCTCTGTGCAATTCGGGTTTGTTTTCTCTACTAAGTCTTGGCGCAAAAAAAAAAAAATCATTTACGCAAGTTCATTTACATTTAGAAAGACTGAGATATCCTGATATGCAGTACACCAAAGATAGCTTCTGGACTGCACATATGAGAAGTGTGAAATATTTGGCCTACAGCAAGAGTCAGCTCCTGTCAAGTCATTTGAAATAAATAGACTAGTACATGTAGGAAAGAGAATTTCTGATGAGTCATTTCAACAATTCGTCGCTTGCTTTGACATTTAAGACGGTGCGTTTTATTCCTCCTCTATCGCAATTTTAACTTATTTAAGAATAATACATTTTATCCTTTTATAGTTACATTTAATATTGTGAAATGTCATGAAACACATTAGTCCTGTTATCGCTCATTTCCTCAGCAACCTCTCTTTTTTTCCCCCTTTTGTTCAATGTCATGAAGACTTTCCAATGGCGGAAAACTTTTCTGACTGTGACCCTAGAGACTCCTTCCATAAATGCTCGATAGATGCCTAACAGAAACGTCACCATTTCAGTAATTAGACATTTTTCTTTGTTAAACAGCAACACGTTTTTGTTTTTTTTTTTTAAACCAGTTAATAATTAGGTTTAGATGATGTATCTTTTGCATTAGAAGTCTCTATGAATGAGCTGTTTGTACAGAAGAGATAACATTAGAACAAGCGCATTAATATAAACCTGTGATTTGAATTACAGCTGCACCATTGTCAGGGCTGCTGCTGTAGAAAATGAATCAACACATTCAGTTAAAACGGATTGGAGAATTCAACAGTGCTTACTACTGACAACAGTATTAGGATGTTTCTAAATGCGCTGTATAAGCACCATGGGTAATCTGTACTGGCTGGAGTACATTTGGTCACTGTGCTTCACTGAGGGATTTTATAAGAGCCTTAGACAATCTCTATGAATATTAACCTGTAATCTGTTCAGCCTGTAACGCCGTGTACTATCCCTGAGAGCACAGCCAGTGTGATGATCTCACTGAAATATCTAAAAGATCAACTCACCCTGCTTCTGTGGCTCCTACACTGCTATCAAAAGCCTGTAATGGCTTTGCTGTCTTGCTTGTTCTTACCTTGCAGAGCCCCTCAACACTTCGGTGTTCTGGCACTGAGTGTCCCAGGTTTAGTTTGTCCTCTTCAGAAGTCAGGCCATTTAGTGACTCAATGCATTTAAGGTTTCAGAGACTTCTGAGTCTCTCCTTTTCCTATTTATTGCCGAGCTGAAATCGGAAAACGCATGTAACGTGCGTGTCTGTACTTTCTGTAAAGTGTTCACTAGGTGTTGTTAGGTACTAAAAATGATTTCATTATGATTATGATTATTTCATTCTGTTCATTATGAAGAACTTTTGGTGTGACAATGGGAAAATCTGAAATGTAGTGTCAAAATATTTCCAAAATACTATAAAGAAAGGTAAACAGTAAACAACTAACTTCAAGGACTCAATGAGGCATCAGTTAGAGCTTTGGGCCTTATATACTCCTAAAACAGGAAGTAACCTGGAAGTCGTAAGCTAGAACACAGGGGAGGGAGACCTCTGTTGGCAGGGAGGTGTAATATCCCAAGGTGGTGTGACTAAAAGAAATGTATGAGCGCAATTACTGTACGCATTGTGTAATCACGTCCCTGTTAATTCCCATCCTATTGTACTGTAGATTCTGGAGCAGAGCCCGTCACTATGGACGGCCAAAATCAGGAAGCCGTGCACTTGACACCTCCTGAGGTCATAAACCACGGCTTCATGAGGGTCTTAAAGCGTCCTGCACAGTGGCTGATCATCATTGCTCTTCTAATCTCCTGGTCAGCAGCTGGAATTTTTATGTTTGACTTTGTGAGTGACGAGCAGCTGACAAGTAAGTGACTTTATTTGATATAACAAGCGTCTATGTCAGATGATCATGGGGCTCTGAAATGGTCCTCAGAAATGAGAAATCATGCGTTCTCATGTTTTATCTTTATAGATTTACAGCACATAAGTTCAGATCCCATGACAGTGGTGAATGAAGCTGTTGAGGGATTTACGGACAAAATGAGCCACATAAATGACATTTTTAATAATGCACATGGTAAGTTTAATCGCTTCAGATGCAGGTTTTATAGGTGTGAATAAATAAATGTAAAAATATTAACACTTTTTTCTGACTCACAGAGTACGTTCCTACTGTAATCACTGATCCAGTGTCTGCCGTCCACCAGTGGGCCGATGCCTCGACGTCGTTTCTGTTAGGAATACATGGTGATGTACTTGGAGTTAATATTTTTTTAGTTAAACTTCAAAATTGCTTGCCTTTATCATCATTACAATCCAATGTGATTTATTTTCCCCAAACAATATTCATACCTGTCACCACTTCGTACAATGTAATGATTTCTTCTCTTGAATTTTGTTTCCCCACAGAAAGTGAAGGAGTCACTTATTTCCTTAAACCTGGCCGTGATGTATTAGATGAAATGAATGATCGGGTTAGGAGCCTGGCGGGATATTTATTCCACATGTTTGAAGGTAACTCAGCATTACAACTACAAGTTTGCACATTGATTATTGCAGGAAAAAAACACAATCCCTTGGCCGCCAAGAAAGAATGACGACCACTGAAAACTAAGGAGTCTCAAGGAATCTTGTTAGAATGAAATCTATGCATTCTTAAATTACTTGATGTTCTAATAAGGTCATCCTTGTTCACAGTCATTTATCATGAATTTCTCATTACATCACTTTGAACCATATGAAGAATGCATCTGACCTTTTAGCTTTAGTAAGAAGAAAGCGATCGACCCTGGTTTAATGCAGTACAACGGGGCAAGGTTCATATCATGACCCATCATGGGTCTAGTAAAACAAGTTGTGATTCCCTGTAAAAATCAGCAATTTTTTTTTTTTAAATCACATAAGAATTTGGGATGAAAAACCTGTCATCACCAAGTCCAGTCTTACATTCCTTACTCTTCTAACTACATACAGTTTAATTAGTTTCATAGTAGCTACTGAATAATTCATAGTAGTTGCTGAATAATGTGCTCTAAAGTGAATAACTAAAAGAAAAATGAAATAACAAATGTCCTATTAGGCCTGGGATTAATAATAATGCCGAATCCTAACAGTGAGCTAAGAAGAAAATTGAAACAGAACTTCACAGAGCTGCCAGCTAATTAAGTACTCAGTCAATATACCTAATAAACTGGCAAGTGTATGTTCAGTTTGAATGGTTTACAAGTTGTATACTTTTCTCCAAAATATATTTTCACCCTGTCCTGCTTAGATCTGTTGGATGCAGTAATTGTTAATCCTCTGGAAAAGGTCGCAGGAGCAGCTGCAAATATTTCAGACGCAGTCAAGGTCATCTTGAGCTCTTTCACAGGAATGTTCAAGGGCGTTGAAGGTACGCGAAAACACACAATCATGTTCTGTTTGAAATTTAAACCGTCTACGTGTCTGTCAAGTGGTAAAGGCTAGATAAGAAACACAATATCACAATAACATGAATTACATAATCACCACAAAAAAACAGTACATTACAAACATTAGTAAACAGACATGAAACAGAAATACAATCAATCAGTCAATCAATCAATCAATCAATGTCCAACAGGTTATTTAGCAATGGAGTGGTAATCTAAGTGAGAATTTGCAGTGGAAACTCATACAAGCTGATTACTACCGGAAATCGCCAAGATAAACATACCTGATATAAGTGTGTTGCATATGATAAACATTAAATATTTGCATCAATTTTAACTTCATACAGCATGATATAGTATACTCATGCTATGGAAATTTGTTATAAAGAAAGTTTTTGGTTTCCATTTGTAATGTAATTTGCCTTGTTGTTAACATATTAGAGAAGCGCAAGAGGTTAATGCATCCTGTTAAAGCACTGGGATTGCAGTATTAAGGGTGGAAGCCATATTGTTAACTTAACCCAATTTGCAGTGATAAATGTGATCATTACAATTAGCAGCTATATACTGGTAATATACATGCTAGACTCCTATTAGCTTTATTTCAAAGCTTGCCATCTTTTCATTCATATGTCATCATATTAATTTTTTTCCATTTTAAATGGTCTCTTGCTTTTATGTTACATCATATAATATTTGACTGCGATAAAGCAGCAGCAACAACAACAACAACAACAGCAACAACAGCAACAATGCTCTATGCTTCTTTAGTCCGCATTTTCTATCCCCTGATTTTTACATACAAGTGCTTGAGTTAAAAGGCAGTAGTCTAGAGGCTATTAAAAAACCCTGGACATTAGTATTGAACTGAAAATATACAATGAGGTGAATGAAGCTTTATCTTTCTTAGTTTGGATTCCTAAAACAAGCACAAGTCCCATGGAATTGGCCAGCGATGTTCTCGAAGGAGCACAAAACCTCAAAAACAACATCGTCACACATGTGTCCAACCTCTTCTCTGGGGACGAAGGTATGACAATGACAAAGCATTTGTACATTTTAAATAAATAAGACAGCTAATAGATATTTTGATTTACTTTCGATTTCTATTTTATTTGTTTTTTATTTTTCCCAGGTGGTGTTTCTGACATTAACTTTGATCCCATGAAAGTTGTCACAGACACAGTTGAGGAATTCTCTGACAGAAGGGACATGTTTTTAGCATATCTCTCTAATATCTTAATGGAGGATAAAGGTATGTGGACAGGCTTAGTAAAATCATATGATACATTTAATATAGGTTTCAATGTTGCATCAAAGGTTTGTTGTGTTTATTT